TCTTTTTCTACTCGAAATTAAATTTTTATTCAATTTCCTCCAAAGAACTTTACCTTAATGTAACATAATTTTCTTTGAAAATACTACTTACACTATCACATTTATCTGCCTAAATTCAATTTTTTACTTTTATTTTGTTACCATAAAGCTCTGAACATTAAAAAAATCTATGCAAGTATCAATACACTACTGATTAAACATAAACTTATTAATTATTAAACACAAAAAGTAAAATTATATTGCAAATGCATCCTTTCATGAGATGATAAACTTTTTTCAGTTAGTTCTTTTATCTGTAGATGAACATTACTTACTGCTGAAATAAGGGATATCAATTATATTTCTTTTTTGTTTTTATAGATGTAAGTTGAAGGAATTGAGAGTGTTTTATTACAGCAATGTAATTCACTTCTTTGAATTCCTTCTAATGTTATATGTCAACATTTATATAATGGTCTGTTAGAAAATATTTTTAATCTTCAGTCACATGACAATTTGATAAAGTCCTTCTTCATTTCTTTTAAACAGTGAACTAGGAAGCACCTGACTAGCAAAGAGATTTGTTCTCCAGCAATTTGAATAATTTACTTTCTCAATTTCTGGGAAGTACACCAAGAGAGCTTTACTAAGATTTATCAAATTATTGTTAACTGTGCTGTAACACTTGTACTTAGGCCCACCTTTTAAAAGCCATATCACCAGAAATGGCAGGAAAAACAAATTTTTAGTTTTATTACACGTTTGCCAAAACAATGCTTTTTGATAAAATGTTTTGATCTTATTTCTTGTTTTAAATGTATTGCCACTGTTTGGAGTTGCAGATTTAGATCGTTTATGAAAAGTATCTGTCATAAAACCTCATTGGCAGGGCCGGTCTTCACTGTCAAACTGGTATGCCAAATCAGATACACTGTCAGAAAAAGTTTTTCATTTTTCAATTCAAATAGCTATTTTGAGGAATATTATAAAAATCAATGAGAACTAAAAGTATATCTTGTGAAACTGATCACTAAAAACAATTAAGATAAAGATCTAATATAATTGATTTTTCCATGTTTAAGTTATAAAAACAAGATGACCAATACACTATTTCTCATATAAAGTAAGAAAATGATAAAAGGCATGGTATATCTCTAGCAAAATTGAATGCTGTTGACTGGCTCTGGAGAATGATTAAACAAGAAATATGTTATAAGATAAAATGGTAGAAACAACTATAGTTTGAACGTATTCCCCAAGTTTCGTATGTTGAAAAATTAATCCTCAAATTCATATGTTGATGGGGTAGACCCCATGATGGGACGCAAGGCTTTATAAGAAGAGGAGAGACCTGAGTTGAAATGCACTTTTTGCCCTTCCACCCTTCTATCACAATTTGAGGCAGCAAGAAGGCCCTCACCAGATGTTGAGTAAATTCCAGTGCCAGGTTCTTGGACCTCCCAGTCTCCAGAACCATGAGCCGAATGTTTCTTTTTTGAAATAAATTATCCAGTCTGGTGTTTTGTTACAGCAACAGAAAACAGACTAAGACAAGAATATAATTGAATAAATGTTTCATGTTATGGTTTGATACAATGGGTTCTGACAACTTTATTAACGAATGCACATCAAATCTGAAAGAACCATGTGAAAGTTTTTAGCCTTGGGTTCTATCTACTGCATCTTCTAAAAATTTGGCATTCCCAGAAGGCATTCTGGTTACATTTAAAATAATCAGCATGGCAAATCTATACTGCTTTAGCTCTTCCAAGTTACTTTTTTTTCCCAGTCAAGTTACATCCTATCGAAGGATACTGACAATAGTGGAAATAATTGATTACAATTATATGAAGAAGACATATAATTTTTGGCATTCAGTACCTTCTACTAATTTTGTTTCACTCTCCCATGGCTCTCCCTCAAGAGCAAGAAATTCTTTGACAAGAGTCAGGAAAAGAAAAAAAAAGCCACAAAAAAAATTGTCATTGTTACCATTACTCCACTTTGTCGTACATCTGAATTCTGAAAATCTATTTTTGAGTCCAAATCCCCAATTTCTATGTTATCTAACATCATAGCTTTAACATGTGTGTAAGAGGTGAAAGCCCAAGGCTCTATGGTTTTATGATTAATCATCAAAGACACCTTTCCTCTGTTTGGTACATCTGAGGTTTTTGGTGTCATATTAAGAGCAATGTATTATATGAAGATATGGGGTGGATAGCCCTGCATCTTTTTTTAATGTGGGAAAAGAAACAGTATGAACAAAGACTCATTCTCAGCAGATCAATTTAAGGAAATAGTGTATATAGAGGATCTGGAAATTAATTTCCTGAAAACTGTCCTGAGCATGCAGTCCGTGAAAAGCCATCACATACCTTTAGGTATACATATCTCAGTTTGAAAATTATGAATTTATCATACCTGTATATAAATTAACCTGACCCAATCCAAGATTGTTTATCATGTGATCTCAATCCCTGGAGGAGGATAATCAAAGGATTCTAAAGAGGGTCCAGAGAGGTAGAGTTGGAATTGCAACAGAGAAGTTTTGAGTAGCATTGAGGAACCTCTGATTCCAGTCTGGTGTTCAGCATCATGCAAGTGTTCCTGCTATCAAACAATGAGTGCCAAAGGTCCCCTGGGCCTTTGTTGGTGGAAATAAGTGCAGCACCATCCTCCCCAAACCGGAAGATTAGTGTTGCTAACTGCCATACCAACAGAGGCAAGCAGATGATATAAATCAATGAAGCAGACAGGATATAAGAAAAGAGGTGATGAGAGTTTGATAAAAGAGAGGACATGCCTCATCCACAGGTAGAGGCAGCTATTCACCTCCAATCCCACTGTTGCTATATTTTCCACTTTTCTACCTGGATTTTCATGTAAAATTGCCTGATTTGTAAATGTAGGCAATTAAATCAACATTGTTACACAACACATTGCAAAACAAATCTCCAGGTTATGTCAGCTCAACGGTTGTTAGCCGTCTCCTCCCAAAGGCAACATGATGATATGTTTGCCTCTGGTGAGAGAACAAAGCAGTCTTGAATCAAAGTTTGGGTCTTCTGAAGTGAGCCCAGCTATCTCTCCAGTTCTTATAACCCTTCACAAAACATTGCTGGATCCTCACATGAGTTTTTCAAGTTTAAAAAGTGCAGAGTCAATTATTTAAGCTTTATGGAGGCTGAGGAATTGTCATCAGCAAACCCCACAATCCATAGAGTTGGATGGAACTTTAAACATCATTTATTCCAGCTCCTCTGTTTTTACAGCTTCTCACAACATTCTCTCAATATTAGTATTGGGTCTAATCGAACATGGATTAACCAATGGAGGCTATGCAATCCCAGTATTATAGTTCCTGGATGCTGTCCTCATATGCCGCTTCCAAGGACTAAAAAATTTTCAATAGAAGTAGCTGTGATGCTAGTTTCAGCCCTTCTTACTTCCAGACTCTGACCTATAATTACCCTGAGCTCTTCAACTTCAGATCATGTGCTAATTTAAAAACATGTCCATAAATTCTTTGGTATTCCTCCTTTCAGGAGGTAGAAACTAATTTCCTTCATCCTTGAGTGTGGGCTATACTTAGCGACTTGCTTCTAATGAACAGAATATGACAGATGATGGTGACTTCTGAGAATAGGTCATAGCATTTTAGCTTGCTCTCAGCTTTCTCTTGAATTACTTGCTCTTCAGGAAGCCAGAAGTTATGTGGACACTCAAGCAGCACTAGGGAGAAGCTCATGAGTAGAAGAACTGAGGCATGCTGCAAACAGCCATGGACTAACCTGTATTGGGAGCAGATTCTCCAGCCCCACGTAAGTCTTCAGATGATGGTTTTTTTTTTTTTTTTTTTTTTAAATAAAAAATTTTAAAAAAAGAAAGGTAATTAAATTGAAGGAGAACTTCCCTTATTATATCCAGAGGTTAATACTCAAAATGGTGGTGGTATGTCATTTTTAAGAATTTTCCTTCAGAATGAACAAATTCTAACGATCTGGTAAGCTCCTAGAATTTGGTTCTGCCCTAAGGCTCCTTTCTCTTACTAAAAGTTGAGGGTAAATAGGAAACTTAACCAAAATCTGAGATGCGCATTAATTTCAAATTAAGTTCAGTAACCCCCAAATGTAAAAGTCCTTCCTGACATAACACACATATTAAGACCCAAGATTTCTCAGAGAGAATCTGATGCCCACTCTCCAGAGGCTGAGCTCCCACTGCAAGGGAGATATTCCCTTTGGCTGTTTTTTCTCTCTCTGCTTTTATCTCAGAGGTCTGTTCCTTAGTCTCTGTTGAGGTGAAACTCCAATGCAATCTGAACCCAACCAGCCAAATAAGCAACTTGTGTACAAGCCAAGTTAAAAAGTTTCACTCCTAGAATGGATGAGGAGAAACCAGAAGACATTTCTCATGCACAGAGAGTGCATGAATCCCCTGAACTGCCAGGTTTCAGGGTCACATGAGACCTCTAGAAGGCTCTGCTCACCATCACCTTATCATCTGGTAGGTTCCAGGTATCTGGGTACACATGAATTAAGTCTTAATGACTTTAAATTCTGTCTCAAATTTTTATCCTCTTACAAGTTTAAGCTTTTTGTCTGAGAAAAAGTGCAAAGAGTCCATGAAGAAGTGAGGTCAGATCTCTTTTGGCAGGGATAAAGAATACCACACAGTGGGTCTTAATGGCAAGGAGTGAGAAAGAGTAAGTTCTGAAGTGTATGGGAATGCCTTGGAAGGGAGAAAAAGTGTAGAAATAAAAGGATCTTGGTCTAATTCTCCTTTGTGTCCAGAGGCAGTTCTGCAAATACCATCTTAATGAGCCACTGCCTAGCCCCTAATCTCATAAAATCCTCAAAAGGGAAAATGCATGAAAGGCAGAGCTGATTCTCTCTCTTTTGATATTTGCCCTTGGGTTTGCTGGCCTGACTTCTGGGGCTCTGGGAACACACGAATTAGCAAGAACCAGAGAAGGCATTCAAAACTAGGCCTCTTCAATGATGAGCCAAATCAGACAGTTACCTTACAGCTTGCATATTTATTGAACAAATACTACTAAAATAGCTAAAATACATTGGGTACTTGTCATGAGTGCATCAGTAAAGATCACATTGTTACAAAAGCCTGCATTTTCAGCAGTACACAACTGCAACTCTACATAAATGCCACAGATGCAGAATACTGTTTTCTTGCTCTATTTACACAGCTGATATATCTATTCTAACGAAGGAGGGAGAGGAGGAATGCACAAGAAACTCAGGCCAATGGGGGAGCAAGAAGAAAACGAAGAAGTGCAGTGCATGCGTCATCGGTGTTTAACAGTCAGAAGCGAAACAGTTCAGAACAAGGCCTGCCCTGTCAAAAGAAGAGCTAAAAGACAGTTATATAAAAATTAAGGTGGGCTTTCAGACTGGCTAACACAACAACATTCCATGAGTAGATGGTATTTTAGTTTTGTTTATCCATTTCGTTGGGAGCAAGGACAAAAATGTAAATCTACACCTTGCTTATCAAAATTGCCAAACAAAGAGTGCTCTGCCTTTTAAAAAAGCATGATGATTTTGTAAAGACATTGTTTTCCAATTTAATATCTGGAAAAGGTGTCATTTTCATATTCCTACTCAGATGCCAGTGTTTTGGGTTTTTTTTCCAGGGGGAATTTATTTAAAAAGGTTTTGCTCTTTTTTTCCACAAGTATCCTTTCAAACAGAAAGAACCCAAAGAGACACCTCAAAATGCCTGTAAAATTATTGCTTTTCTTTCTGTAAGTCAGGCAGGCGAGGCTACGGAAAGGAATAGATTTGGTAAGTAAATTACAGTTTTGTGATTGCTCCCGCTACCGTGACTGCATGTCCGTGAGTGCCAGTCAACGAGACAATCGTCTCTCACACTCTGGTAGCATTCGCTCAACCTACAACACTGAGGAAGAAAGCCACACTGAAGACACAAGGAATACAAGTCAATCCAGTCTAGAGAACAACATTCAGGGAAACAGAGTACCAACACCTTCTTAGAACATGGAAATAAAAAATAACTCCATCAGAGCTACCTCGCCAAGGAGCATGTTGAAAGTCCAAAATAGCACCATTCATCAGTGTCTCAGGTCCTGTGGCAGCATCTCGGTCACTTACCACAAGGAAACAATGAGTTTCAAACTACTTCTATACATCAAAAGAGTACATGGATAAAATATAGAGATATACAGACAATTGATGAACATAAACTACTAGGTTTGTTACATCTAAATGAAAAAAAAAGGGGGGACTCTCAGCCTCTGCAAGAAGCAGTCGGGAGCTGTGTGAGTGAAAAGGCAGGAGTGGACCAGTTGTGTGAGCGCGGTGGGAGTTTGAGTTGTGGAAGACATTGTTGTAGCGAACCAGGCCTGAAGGCCCACCTGTAAGGGTTGTAAACGTGGATTCACAGTGTGAAATTCTGAGCGTTTTCACTTGAGTCAGAATGATTAAAAACTGGTTTGATGATACCTATTTGTCCACTGTAAATTCTCTAAAGCAAGGCTCAGAGTCCCATAGTTTCTTCTTATACTTGATGATTTACACAGAAAAAAATCCCATATATGATACCATGACCTCATCAATACCCATACACCATATGTAATACAAATGGAGGTGTTACGATTAAAAAAAGTGGAGGTAACTGATTCTTGGGGAGCGGAGTTCACTGCTGCCCAGTGGAGTCAGGGAGGCAGCGTTTGTCTCATCGTTCTTCTTGCGGTTCACTTCCTTTGGGACAGGAAGTCTTCCCTGCAAAGCAGGCAGACCCACACACAGACACACACACATAAAAGACAAAATTAGTCATGCTTCTGAAACCATTTTTTAAAATTTTGCTTTTCCTGGCCAGCCCACATTTTACCCTTGAACTCTTGCTGTTTTGCAAAACAGAGTTTACATATTAAACACAGTTCACCTGAATGTAAATATTAGGTCTGTGAGGAAATAAAGTAATTAAACACTGGCCACCTTTGCTTCAGTAGAATGAAGTGCTTCTGTCATGGTGGTGCCAGCCATGTGTGAGGCAGCATTCCCCAGTGTCAGGTTTCTTGGGACAGTTTCTAGTATCAGATGGGGCCCCAACCTTAGACTGGGTGATAAGATACTCACAGAAGGGTCAGTCCATAATTAAAAAAAAAAAAAAAAAAAAAGAGTCCAGAGGGTGTGATGAAGAACAGTAATAATCTATTTTCAAATATGTAATACAAATATTTAAAAACATATCCAACTTGCATAAATCTTATCTATGTATGGCTTATTCTACATGCAATTGGTACATGCCAGAAGTGGGTACCAAAGATGGGAAGTGTCTGGGAGAGAAATAATGTGAGGGTGCCCAGACAGCGGATATAGGAGAGAGGAGGCTAGTGGGAAACCAAGGCCAGAACTGACTGGGGCTATTCTAAGTCTCTCCTCACAATCCTGATGAGTAAGGTTTTTGTGTTTCTGACTAGAATAACTCAATCTCAGTGTGACTGCTGATCTGCCGCCATGTGGCTTCCCGGATACACTGCTGCAGCGCCAACAGTGGAGAGGAGCTCTCCATCACAACCAGACAGCAGAAGCACAGCACAGTGAAGCCCACCTGCCCACATGATGCATAATAAAGGTATTAATTTACAACAGATGGATTTTATGCCCTGTACAGGTATGAACATAGTGAAGATTTGACGATAGTCTCTCTTTCAGCTGAACTCTGGAGTTTTAATTACTGACATTTTCTTGGAAAAAAACATCCTTTGTGGTTTTAAAAGATGTGTGGGTTTTTTTTTTTTTTTCTGCTCAAGTCACATGTTCTAACAAGACAGTTTTAATAAGCCAATTTGACTAGATGTAAAGTACTTGGATTAAAGTGATCATCTTACTTTGTGACCTATCAATTAACACATCTAAATTTCTTTTTAAGAATTCAGAAGCCAGTAACTTCCAAACAACTTGAAATTGAGTAAATATTTTCAGCAACCCAGGGGTGAACTAAATGCAACAGATAATTCAACTTTAAAAAGTCTTACTTACTGTATAATTTTCCATATTTAAACATCTGGTATGCCTCAATTTTTTGCTTAAAAGTCTCAGACTTTCAGAGCATACAACAGTTTTTGGACATATATACCCATTATGTACTTTAATACTCCAATCTTAGGTTGTGATTTTAGAGGTGGTTTTGGTATCATTAAATACCAATGGGACCAAACCAGAAAATTAAATAAAAATATAATTCACCATTCACACACCCTTAAGAGTCTAGATTCAATTTCTAAAAGCATAATAATATTGGGTAGTTACTTGCATTTCTGAAAATAATTTCAATCTTGGAATCTTGGTACACAATCCCAAAATTTAAAAAAAAGGAAATCTACTGTAATACCAGTGTCTTTAAAATAATGCTGCCAGCCCAACCCCATCTCACCCCACAGTCAATCAGTTACCATGGTTCAGGATAGGACAAACATAGGTTTTGGACAAATGAAGAGTTCAATGGCTGTTAATTGTCACCGGCAAGAAAAGAAGGAAAACCAAAAGTTGATAAATGTTAACTCAACAATTATACTCTTCACACAGCTTGCCTTAAAACTGCTCCTGTTCAGACTTACTCTGTTCAAAAGTGAATACACAGAACGTTAGTGTATCTCTCTATTTAAATCTTAGTCTCAGTACTAATCTTCTACCTCCATGAAACATACACAACAAAACAAAAGTAAGAGCAAGGGATTTGGGAAGAGGCACTTCCAGAAAAAAAGAAAGTGAAGATTATTTCACATTTGAATTTACCATTTTTACTATTTTTTCTGTTTCAAGGTGCCAGATAATAAACATTTCTTTGTTCACTTTCATGTTCTGAGTGCCTACTATGGCTGGAGTACTCTATTCAATTTTAAGCTTAGAGATTGAAACAGAAACAAAAACAGTCCCTGCCCATCTCACCCTTCATTAACTTGCTGTGTGGAAGACAGGCATACAGACTGGACCCTGACAAGGCAATGGTAGTAGGGCCCACAGGGAGGTGTACAGACTGGACCCTGATGAGGCAATGGTAGTAGGGCCCACAGGGAGGTGTGCTACTGCAGCAACCTGAGGGACCAGAGCCCAACGTGCCCGTGGGGAGAGGTGCTCCTGAGGAGACAGAGTTCTGTGCATCCTCCCTATGGAGTCCTGGATTTACTAGATTTCAATCCTCTTCCCCCAACTGATTTCAATCCACACACCCTCCCACTATTTAAAAAATAATAATAATAGGCTTTCTGCCCCCACTAAAGGAATTTTAGGCTTCTGCAACAAGTGGAGGAGGCATTTTGAAGATGGGACACAAAGAAGTCTTCTTTCTCCAGATCCAGAAGTCAGGCCTTATAAGAATTTAAGCCAAAAAAAAAAGTCCATCCATGGAAAAAACAGTTGTTCTATCATCCAGCACATATTTGTGCCAACAGAACTGAGGGACTTGAGTAATTCAAGAGGCTAGGGGTTGGGGGGCAGATGTGTCCAGTGGCTCCCACAGCCCCGCCATCCTGGAAGTCATGCCAGTTAATGTGCCTTGGGGTGGATCAGCCCTCCCGACAGATGACTACTAGGAAATTAATCCCCAGTTAATAATGTGCTTTGGTCCAAGTAAGTCAAGATTATTTTTCCTACAATTATGCAAAGATATGCTTTTCCAGAAGGGAACTTCTGGAAAAAGAACAAATACACTATGCTTAAAATATTATTCACATATTTAGAGAAGATAGCGGAAGACCTGAATACCATGATCCACTGTGCCCACCCCTGGGAGCATGTCTTTGTGGAGGACAAGACCTAGCACACCAGGGCTGGCTTTCTAAGAGTAGGGGGAGGCACCACTGAGCTCATCAAGGAACTGTGCCTAGTCCTGCCCCTCTGGTTTATGTCACCAGTATCAAAGAGAGGACCTTTGGATGCCTGAATGAGGCAAGAATTAATGCGAAGGCTATACTTTGCTTTGTTTTCACATCTTGCCCTCAGCTGCCTTAAGAGAATTATGCCCTGATCTGGCACAGTGATGAATGTCTACGGTTATACTGCTGCTGCCGCTGGTGTGCTGTTGGTGAGGTGGTGGGGTGTGGGTGTGTTTTAAGGAGAGCGCTACTATTTTAGCTGTCTTCCACTCCAGCTCTACAAATCAGTGCAAGTCTAGTTCAGGCAGGGCCAAACCATTTTGTTCACCTACTTTTCTGCCAGTGATTTCAACCTTGACCTTCAAAAATGCTCTGCAAGATTAAAAGTGATTTAAGATTGTTTTCTTTCAGTGCAAACTGCCAGTTGATACAACCTCTTCAGTTTCTGCCTGCCAGTATAAGATAGGGAATTGTTGAGACTATTGAGTGTAAATAAAATAATTTCTTAAACATTGAAATACCAGTAATAGCTGGGGGAGGCCTCACCATTATCAATTACACTTATGAAACTTTCAAATAGAAATGTTAGTTTCAGTGGATTCTGTTTTTCTTTATTAACTGCAAAATCAGTAAGTCATTAAAAAGTACACTCTTCCTGCTTGAGGTCAAATAAGTATTTACCCTAAGAGGCAAAGTTCAGTATCTACAGTAAAAACTGGTAAGTAGTTGTTGTTTCAGAAATTATGCTAAAATCTAAAATATAAATTTTACAAATTTTGAGGCAGAGAACTGCCATACCTAAGATGTCAGAACAATGAAACCATGTTTATAAAAAATTGTTTTTAGGCTTAAAAATTAGAAGAAAGACATGTAACAGTTTTTTGGTCTTCCCTTTTGCTTCATGGATAATCTTATCAGACCTTCAGACTTCATTAGCAAGCAATTATGTCATCATCTTACACTTTTAAGAAATCTTTTAGTTTGATCATTGTATTTGAGTTTGTCTAACCAGGAATGGAACAGATTTAAAACTTGTAAATTGTACATTTGATAAACTAATTTCATGTTTTAAATGAAAATTTTTTATTTATGAAGAAAGGAAGATAATGTGAACTTTAAGTCAGAGGACTTTATTTTTTAAAAGTACATTATTTCCAAGGTCATCATAGTATCAGATTGATGGATTCTTATAGCAGCCTATAATGGGTATTAAAATGAAAAGGCTCTGATATTTTAAAACAATTGTTTCAATATTGAAAATAGTGTTAACAAAATGGCATCTAGGGATCTTACCTTAGGAAGCCTTCCCTCCATGTTCTTGTTTGGAAATGGTTCTTGACTGACCCAGACAAAGAGTTCTGGGTAATAAACCTATAGACACACAAAAGCACACACATTCAGATTAAAAACAGGATCTACTCTGAAACTACATGGGATAACCTTAATGAGCTCAATTCTCCTCAATGGCCACTTATTCCCAACTGCAACTTAGAGCACTGGGGAAACCATTAACTCTTTCAAACTCTTAGTGTGCTTCTGAACACACACTACACTCAGGAGTTTCAGCTCAATATCTGCCAAGATTAAGTCCAATAAATCAGAGATATCAATCAATGTTATTTTTAGCAGGCAAAGTAGCAGCTTAATGGTATGTCTGGCTGAGTGCACTAAGTCACCAGGGAGGTCTAACTTTCAAAGGATTCTATGATAAGTATCCTTGCAAAACTCCATCAAACACTGTTAAGGGTTATTCTGATCATTTATTAGAAGGCCAAAGATTATGAACAAAATAAAAGAGGAAAGAAAGCAGCAGCCCAGATTCTCTCCAAGTCCACGTGGCCAGTGACAACACATTCTGCCCAGCTGCCTGAAACAGCCAAGTGTCTGAGGGAGGGGCGGGAGATAGGTGTCATCACCATGAATGATTCAGAGAATACTAGTTGATGAATTTGGTGGTGGGAGGGGGTGGAGCGAGGGAGTGGAACTGAGTAACTCTTCTTTAAATATACAAAGGATGATTAGCATAAGGTTGCCGACCAGCTGTTCTCCATCTTCAGTAATGACAGGAGGGGGGAAAGGACTTAAAATTACAACTAAGATTTGGGTCAGCTCTAAGGAAGAACTCAGCATAAGAATTGTTAAATTACTAAAAGAAATTAGAGAAAAACTGTGAAATCTTCTTTAAAAAATTTAGAAACAGAATCCAGCAACCATCTGTCAGAGCTAATTCACATTTAATACAGTCCTGATTGAAAGCAGAGTGAAATTAGGTAAGATTCCCTCCAGATCTGATTCTCCACATTCTGCAATAAATAAGCTTCACATTTAATAAACAACAATTAAGAGTCATACCTCATTAACAGATTAACAAACAGACTTAGATGTCTGTTTAGATTTTGGTTTTGGAAGCCCTAATTGAGATAACCTAATCATTGGGTTGACTGTAATACTCGGTATACCCCAATCAATCCATTTTGTCAGGAGATCTAGGGTAGGAAATATGGATGGTTAACAGTGTTCACTCTTCGGAATAATTGAACAGTAACTATCTTTGATCTACACCAGTGACATTTAGAGCACATCCTAGCTTACAAAGCAATTTTGCATACATTACTTAATTTGTCCTGATGATAAGCCTATAATATTGGTCTTATCATTAAACAAATGAAGACATTGAAACTCAAAAAGGTCAACGATTTGCCCAAAGTCACACAGGCAGTGTAGGGTAGGACTGAAACTCACACTAGGTTTCCAGATTCTAAACTTCAGTTCCTTCCACTATCCTGCTGCCCTCACATTATCCCAGAATGCAAATTGCCTACCACCACTCCCTCAAAATTACACCAGTCCACAGCCGCCACCCACGTTTGGGTCTTAAAGAGAGCTCATTCTGCAAGAGCTGGAACTATTTTCTTTTTGGACTGGGTCTAGCTTTCTGAGCCACGTGGTTCCCTCCACCCCAACCACCTTACTTTTCCACATATTTCCTCTCCTCTGCCCAGCTCCTTCAGAAAGTATTCCACCATCTGCCTTGTTTGGGACAAGCAGCCACTTCTGACATTTCCTTTATCCAGGAATGGGTGAAGAAAACAAAATAATCTCAAATACACAAGCTTTTTTCAAGACTTATAACAAAGTCACAGCACACAAAAGCCCAGTTTCAGCTTAACTTGAGGGGACCCTACGTTTGAATCTACTGTTAAATTCACTTCATATAAATGGATATAAAGTGATTACATTTCTATATTGCCACTTTAAAAATCATATTTTAAGTACAGTCTTAAAATATTAGTGAGAAATTAAGTTACATTGGAAACCAAAAATGTTGATAAAAGTACATATAAAAACTTTGTAGGCATAGGAAGCAATGAAAAGCAAGGTCAGGTAAGTATTGTCATTCCTGTGTTCTTGTGCTTTTCTGGGATATTCCATTTTAACGAAATGACACTGCTTTAACATTTAACCTCTAAGCATCAATACTAAAAGCACCCAAGTCTAATTTGTAGGGGAAAAATAGCTTGCCTTTCAGAAATTATTACACCTATTTTAACAATCTGTTGTTCCAAGAACTGTCCATTTGCTTAAAAAAAAAAAAAAAAAAGCCAACAACTTTTGCCAAAGAACTTGGGAACATGAATATCCAACAGCAAAACACACATGACTAAGGAAACTTTATCGCTCACTTCATATTTGTTACATTGACGAAGGCATTTTTTTTACTATTAGGCATTTTTAGCACATTAGGCATTTTTAAGTATTTGAATCATAATCATTGTATACTTTTAGAAAAATGAACGTTGCTTTGGCCTTGTGGTAGTCTTCCAATCTGCTTCAAAGTCAGAACCTTCAGCCAAAAATGGCAGGGACAGAGGAGTCTCAGTTACACTCTTAAAACCTGCTTGGCTGGTGTCTAAGAACTCAGCATATCCCTAGACATAGTATCTAAAGGAGATATTTAAACTTTTCATTTTTTTTAAGCACAGCTAGTTTTAAGAAACAGTGGTAAATTACTGGAAACAAATACGATCTATCTGCATTACAACATTGTTCTTTCTTATACCTGCAGTATTTTCAGACTCTAAAGTGAAGAGCTTAAGAGAAAAGATCGATTGACAATCATTAATTACCTTTGCTCTCAAATGATTCAGACCTGACCTTTGGTATTCCACAAGGGCCTCAACTTCCATTCCTTTCCCAGAGCTGGATGTGGAGAATGGGTGTCCAAAGCAACAATCATTTGTCTTTCTGTCAAAAGCTGTCTCGGTTTAAATGTACTGTATTTTCTCTGCCGCTTCTTCTCATAGCGGAACATGTTCTAGTCTACTCACCAGGTTCTACTTCTGGCAGTCAGAAATAGTGCCACTTTTCAACATCATGTCTTTTACCAACCTTTGTGCATGTATGCAGCAACAGTTCATGAAATAGCTGCAAAGTGCTGGACACTGTTAGGTTCTGGGGATTGCAAGAGAAATAGAGTTCCTGCCTTCTAGATGCTCAAGTCTGGGGGTGGGAAAGGTACAGCAGGGGTGATCAATCCACAAAAATCTACTTTTAAAAATGTGTGTTGTGGGCTGACTTGTATCACCTGAAAATTCATATGGGGAAGTCCTAAACCACCAGTACCTCCGAATGTGATTGTATTTGGAAACAGGATCTTTTATAGAGGCAATTAAGTTAAAATGAGGACATCAAGGTGGGCCCTAATCTGAAGTGACCCATGCATGTTGTTCTAAGAAGAGATTAGGACACAGACACGCAGAGGAAAGACCATATGAAGACACAGGGAAAAAGACAGCCATCTACAAGCCAAGGAGGGAGGCCTCAGAAGAAACCAACTCTGCCAACATCTTGATCTCAGACTTGGAGCCTCCAGACTGTTAGAAAATAAATTTCTGTTGTTTAAGCTGCCCAGTCTGTGGCACTTTGTTATGGCAGCCCTCACAAACTAAACACAATGTGCTTTTTAAGGGCAACAACAACAAAAATAAATATATAGGTTATGTCAAATGTAATAGCTGCTGGAACATGTATCAACAGACTAAACAACAAACAAAACCAACATTTAGAGTAATATCCAGTAGTGCTGTCAACAAAGGAAATGGGGGTGGCAGTGAGTGCATCTGGGAGGGCATTTGATGGCTGTCAGAATCAGCCAAGGAAGATAGAAGGGTGAGGGATAAGTGCATAATGAGCTCCATGCAGGCAGGTGGCCCTGTGGCCAGGAGGTCTCCCTGCAGCTCCCAGGGGCCACAGCAGTAACAAGACCCACATGAACCCATGAGTTTCCTACCTAGTTCAGAATATTAGGAACTGACAATGACCCTACGACTGAAGCTTTTGAGTGCTGATAATATGAGGATCAGAAAACTGGTAAGCTGATCCATATTTCTAGAGTCCATCTGTGCTTGCTGAACTGTAAAGCTGCCCATTCTTCTTGGTGCTCATCAACTGACACTCCAAACATGGGCACGTGGCTGATACTGCATTCCATTCATTCATTGTCTGAATTCAAGTTCGTGTTTTTCATGAAGACCAATTAACTTTCTGACACTTCACTGAATTCTCTAATGTTGTTTCGGTGGTTTGCATCTCGAAAATTTAAGCGTTCTGGGTATGGGAATACCTCAAAACTGTTGTTTTATTAAACAAACCAAAGTTTGCATTAATCTTCACAAAAAGTATGTCTTCTTTTAAAACCGGCTTTTCCATGTATACAATAAACAATTGTTTTTGCCCAAATAAAATCCTCAAAACCCTCTAGAATACTATTCTTCCAGAAATCAATTAGAAAATCAGAAAAGCAAATCATACCTTCAACAGTTGAGAAAACAAAATGCTAGTTAAAAAAAAAAAAGGTAGGGGGAAGGAAAATTTTGTTACTTTAATTTGGAGAATATGCAACGGTTTTGTTTGAATTCTGGGAAAGTTTTGAGTGTTTATACTTGTCACTGAATATATTGGTTAATGCATCTTTTTCTGTAATGCTATATTTATCTTACTGACAATTAGGGTGAAAAACAACAGAACGTCATAAAGAACCACAGTGGTTTAAAATACACTAATCATGACATGTATTTAGATATCCTTGAGCAATTCTTAGAAAAAACCAATTTTATGCTTTTGAGTATAATTAATATACTTATACCCACTATATATTTAAATATTAAATGTGCTATTTCTTACTGATTCTCTTAAATGTACTGATAGGTAAGTTACAATATTCTATCACAGCATACAAATTGCAAATAAAATACTCAGGGTTTTGTCCCTCATTTCCTTCCTTCCTCCCTTCCTTCTTTCCTTTCTTTCTTTTGAGGCTTATTTTACTCTTTGGACAGGGCATCATGAAAAATAACTGCATTTTTAAAAGGCTATAAAGTAATTAGCTTACCAGTAATTATTGCTTAGTATAAACTATTATTAATAGCTGACAACTAGTGCTCCAAATTAGAAAAATGAAATGTAGGAAAATTCAGAGACCAGTCCTCCAAGGTCCTAAAAAATAGCAAACTAGATTATTGCTTAAATTATTTTTCAAACTTTTAAGCTTTTCATTTCAAAATCTGCTATTTATTTTTCAATGGCATCGTCCACATACAGAATCAATCTAAAAGTTCTCTGACATGTTTCCTATCACTTCTACTATACTGCAGGTAAAATTTGAATCATATCTACTTATTACCTGTTTCTAAGTTTGTATTTTCCTCTGTTCATTTACTGTCTTTATCAATATTTCTTTGGGGGAGACTTTTCTATGAGAATGATACTTAAAGGCAGGGTTATATCTTTTTGCAGAGGCTAAATACACCACACACATAAATGCTGCTTACTTCATTAGTTAACATACATTTTCAGAAGTCTGCCATGAAAGTACGTTGCATGGTTTGGTTGTTAAGGACCATAGCTGTAATATTATTCTTTATCCCTGATGGGGTCCTATAGGGTTAAAGAATGTACACATGGGTCCTTTATAACTTAACAGGATGGGTATCTATCTCCTGCAATTAGGAAAGCCAACTAGGGCAGCAGGAGTCCAACCTGCATAATCAATCCTTTCTGCAGCAAAGGGGTATATTTCATAATCTTTCTGCCAATTAAATAGTATGTGTCTGTATGTGTACATGTTTTATTCTGCTTAATTGGCCAGGAAGTTGTGAAACCTAGTACTGTAATTCAAGGAGAATTCATGTGCACATACATACACTTCCTTTCTGCAAAAACCCTTTGAAGTGGTGCTATAAAGAATCTCCCTCAAAAGCCACTCTGCTCCCAGGTGTTACTGGTCATATGAGAGGGCCAAATGTAAACTGAAACCATAAATGAGCTACAAGGATCATTTTCTCTGAACAACATTACATCAAAGATTAGATGGTGCCAAAAGATGATGCACTGTGCTGTCTCTCTAGAGATGTAGTCTTAGAAATCTGCCTAACCTTGTGGATGCTGCTTGGAGAAGCAGCACACAGCGGGGAAAACACGTTGCCACTGGAAGACAAAAAGATAAACCTGTAGAACACTGAGCCCTTCAAATGATGTATGTAACCTCTGCACATTCTGGAAAGCAGAATAAAAGTGTTGGGGCTTAGGCTGGCAAGTATTATGGCTTGGGAGCTAAATGAAACATGCACTGACCTAATTTAAACACACACACACACACACACACACACACACAGGAGCTGGCTGTGGTAACAGTGGGTAATTACAGAGTATGCATTATGAACACCCAACTACTGCACTCTATAGTCATAAATGCCCTCCTGCTAGAAAGGAAAGGCAGGCCTTTGTGGCTCCTGCTGCCACTCCTTGAGTTTCATTGCCTGGTAAGTCCTTAACATGCACAAATAGAGGTTGGGGGAGGCAACGTGTTTCAATAAGGAAGACAATGGTGGCTCATTAATTGGTTAAACCCAATGGCATTAGCTTTGCTTCGGGTGCATATTCCCACTACGGGCACAGAAAATGTTCATGTTTTATTAATATTATGCCACAGATTATGTTACTGTCCAACATTACATGTCAGGAAAGCAAAAGATTTACAATTCTTGATTTTGTGAGTTGGGGTTTCTGAAACAAGCTTTGCAGACTTTAATAGTGGAATCCTCTAAATTCACTCTGCTCATTGTGAAGCCATCTTGAGAGGCCACTGATGAATATGTGGGAACCTGACAGCTGTGGAATTTTATTTCTAGACTTTAGGCAGAGAAGGGAAAAGGAAATCTCCTTGCTGGCAACAAAATGAAAGTGTTTACATGTGAAATTAATCGTCAGCACAAAGAGCTTTCACAGTCACTCTGTTCCACAATGTAATATTCTGCTTGTTTGGCTGCCGAGTCTTTTAAAATTTTATTTCTAAGAATAATAGCAAAGACTTTCAAGGGGGGCAAAAAATCAAGTCCGGAGCCAGCCACAAAGGTTAACAGAATTACCCGACTTTTCTTTTTCACCACTACTTAAAACCATTCATTACGTGAGTTGTCTGGGCTTTGAGGGTACATGGTTCAAGGCGAGGTGCAGCAACGGCCAGCTAATTCAAGCATAGTGAATACG